AGGAATGTAAAATAACCTAGCATTCCTGTAGCAAGGGAGTTTTTCTACTTAAAGGGAATAATTTCAAAATGTTTGGTGGGGAGGGGTGAACAAAGCCTCTCTGTCTTCTCTAACTTGAAAATTGTGAATACAAAAGGACTTTATCCTTTCTTTGTAGATCAGTATCTATAGCTTCTTGGAGTTAGGACTGTTGCATAATCTCTTGGCTGAGGTTGCAGAGTATGCAGTAAGAGTAGAGGTCTCTGCAGCCCAGAGAAGATAAATCACAACCCAAGTTCTGAACAGCTGTGGAACTGGTAACTTTCTGTCTTGCACTGGAACTGGTGCCCTGTTTCTACTAGGTTTAAAATCAAATGACAGTAAAGGGTGGAGGATGAGGAAGTTTTTTGTGATGGTTTGGGTTGTGGATTTTTTGGCTATTTCATTTATTTATTTTAAAGGATGCTTAAATTAAGATGGACTTATTGCAAAGCAGGAAACTCTCTCGGAGTTCAGCTTTTATCATGAGACAGTAGTGGGTAGCTGCAGCTACCTTGAGAGTCATACAAGGAAGTTTCCCTGCAGCCTTCCAGGATGAGGCTCAGTTCCATTACTGCCATCACAGGCAATCGTGTGATCAGTGGTTACTCCAGTGTATTTGTACCTTGGAGCGTTTCCACAGACTGTAATAGAAATATTTGGGTGGTGGTTAGAAGACCGAGGGCTGCAAAAAAGGGTGGGAGAGACTTTGAGACATGGATGTTGTTGAATCAAACTCCCTGGTGGAGTGGCAGGGAAATCTAGAAGTGGCTGTTTGCCATGTCAGAGAGGTGGGCAAAACACCAGCTATTTCTGCCAATCTGACCCATGGGAAAAATCCTTTCTCAAATCCATAATCTGGTCATTTGTTATATCTGGTCTGTGTGGAAGGTGCAATAACTATAATCATGGAGATTGTCATACTGCTAGAATTCCCCTCTGATGTGCTGTGTCCATGCAGAGAGGGCAGTGATGTTAGGCAAGTGTCTTCTAGTGACCTTGACTGTGGGGTGGCTCAACTTCTTCTTGATTTCTGTCTTGGAGTGAGCTCAGCACTGCTTGTGGCTGAGATCCTGCAGGTCTGCTGTGACTCACAGAGCTGCGTCAGCATTTGCTGAAAGTGCAGAGGAGCACATGTAGGAGACGTGCAAACTGGTCCCAGCTGGCCTGGCAGGAAGATCAGCTCTGAGCATGATTTTGCAGTTTATCCACAGGAGCCTGTGGAGAAGAGACCACATCCCCCTGCCAAGTTCAGTGGAGGGGGGGGGATTTTGCTTTTGCAAGTAAATCCCAATGCTGATTCTTCATCCTTGCACTTTCCATTTCCCTGGGTACTGTGGTTAATTAGAGACCCTCCTGGCTCCTTGCCACGCCTTTTCACTCCAGTTCTCTCGCCTGTCTCTAGACTCTGATTATGACACTGTATCTGGCCCTTCAAGATCAGGTGGTGCTAGGGTCAGGCTGGGAAGACCTGTGCTCCAACCCAGATAATTTGGAGTGTTTGTGGACTACGCAGGGGTGAGGATCTAAGGGTTGGTTCTTAATTGAGTGGTCATGAACCTTGCCAAGGTGGGTCTCTGCTGGGGTAGAGAGCCTGAGGCACCTCAGATGAAGAGGGGTAATTGAAGATCAGGCCAAAGGCCTGACTGACTATTCTGGATTCTTACCCCTGGACCTGTCAGGGCTCTATTCTTGAACTTGAGTCTGGTACACAGTTGACTCCCTCCTCATGTTTATTATGGCTTTAGTATGTCTTGCCTATTAGTGACACAGTGGTACAGGTTTTCCCTCATGCTTCTCTTGCTCAATAAGCTAGTTACAATGGACCACTACTTGTGGCTGCAAACTGTCACTGCTGTCTGGACCTCTTGTTGCAGGGTCCAAAATAATGTCCTAGGGGTATTCTGAGTATGTGGATGAATGTCTTTGCTGTGCTGGTAACAGAAATGCTTCCTTTTGTTGAACTTAATCTCTTGAGCTTCCATTTGAACTAGGGTTTTGAGCTGGTTAGTCTGGTTGCAGCCCTCAGGAGGCTCTAAAAATGATGAAGCAGGTGCAAGTAGGATGCAATGGGGAGGCTTAGGAAACACCAGACCTGCAGTTCTGAAAACATTAGTGTTATACAAAAGGTGAGCCTGTTGTTGGTTGGGTCCTTTTGCTTTCCATGGCTGGCTCTGCAGTCTTCCTGAGGAGCTCTCTTTAGAATAGTGGTTGTCACAGGTGGCTCCCAGGGCCACCTTGCTGGACCTCCTGTGTTGGAGTATTCAGTGAGTATATTATTGAGTATTCTTGTGTGGGCAGAGCATGGGGTGCTCTAGAAGCTGGGTGAAGAGGAGGTTGTTTTTATTTTTTCCTTGAGTGGCTTTGGTGTTTTGGCTGCTGGGGAAAACTGTCACAGCTTTTTTCTTTGTCTTTCTTAGTCTCGTATAGCGAAGAGAGGAAGGAAGCTTGTGGATTATGACAGTGCCAGACATCATTTTGAAGCCCTACAAACTGCAAAGAAGAAGGACGAAACCAAAATTGCAAAGGTAAAGCAAGCAGGAGGATGTGCAGCCATCCTTTCATTTCACAAGGTCTGTGTGTGCCTACCGAGCAGTTTTTACGTGCACCTCTACCTCTTCATTGAGTCTGCTTTGTTCAGGGAGATGTTGTGAACTGGTGAATTTTGGCTAGGCATTTCCTTATTTAGTTCTAGAAAGCAAGATGGTCTCTGGTTCAGGCTTACCACCATCAGTGAGCATCTTGTGGCAGCCAAGGCCTTGGTGTGCATTTTCTGAGGTGCTGCAGGACCAGTAACCTCCATCAGGAAAGCAAAGCCTTGCAGTCCTCCAGCAAAATTTGCCAGTTTGTCTTGTGATTCTGCCTCCTCATCTTATAGCAGTGGTGAGAGTGTTTGAGTGCTGCTTGAAGTTGGGTGTGTTTGTGAAGTCCTCTGATATTCTAAAGCAGAGACCCTAAATAGTGTGAGCTACAAATTCATTGGTGGAAGTGCACCCTCTGCACACTTGATGACTGTTCTGTTGTTGGTCACAATTCTTGGACAATAAATATGTCTGAAAGGGGGAAACCAAGAGTTTTGTCAGATGTAGCTTCTTTCCTGCCTGTGAACAGTGTGATCTAGGGTTAACACCAGTGCATGCCCAACATGCAGTTGTAGGATTATTTTATTTAAATAAATGTAATTAAAATAAATTTTAGATTCTCTTTTAAATGTAGCTGCAGAAGGGTGATAGTGCTAACCTTATTCTAGACAAGGCATGAGGTTCAAATACCTGCCCAGAAAATAAGCTGTAGATCACTGCTGTACTCTGAGTGGATTTGAACTCATGTACTCCACTCCACAGGATGTGTTCTGACACAACAGAATAGTCCAGGGCTGGGGAGACCTCTTTAGTTTTCTAGAGTGTTGGCCATAGTGCTTCAGGACTCTTCAGGCTAGGAGCAGTGGAGGAAAGAAAGCTCTGGGCCTGTATCTTTTAACCAGGCTGAGAAGAGTTGTCATCCTTAACTTGAGAGCTATTTCTGGTAGAGGTGATTACAGGCCATGTGAGAGACATTAGTGTTTCTCTTGCACAGAAGAAATAAGGATGCCTCTCCCCCCTGAGCTTACAATCTGGCTTGTGTGACCTTTGAAGTAGGGTTTTTCCAGTTTTTCTGGTGTGAGGTGCTTTGGAATATGATGACTGGCCCACAGGAAAGAGAGATCTTTTTTATGACACAACATACAAAAGGGAACTGACTTGATAGATGTCTCATGGTGTAGTTATGAACTGCAATGCAAATACTTCCTGGAGCTATATGGTCTCTTTTTCTTCTCTAATAATACATGAATATTCTTTTCCCACTCAGGACTCCTGCCACTTATTGCTAAACTCACAATCTGCCATTAAAAAGAAGCACTATGGACTTCCAGCTGTTGCATGCAAATTAATTATGGTGGTTAATTAATCCTGACCTCTCTTTAAGGAGCTCTCATTGGACAGCCATGACTTGGAGTAGGGTTGTCTGTGGGCTAGATCACTAACAACTGTATCTGTTGCTCTTTGCAGCTGCCTGGCTGGTCTGCGGTATCCCAGCCCACAGTGCAGCATTAATTACTGCTAATCTTGGCATGCTGCAAAGGATTCATAATTGATCATTCCTGGGATGTTTGTTTTTTCTCTTGCCTTGGTGATACTGGTTTGGCCCAGCCTCTAAATACACTCTCTGTTGTGATTTTAATTTTTTTTAATCCTAAAAATATGTATGTTTGTGTCTCTCTTGTTCTCTGTTTATTTTTTTTCTCTCTCTCTTTTTGCTCAAACGTGCTCCCTCCCCCCAGCCTGTCTCGCTGCTTGAGAAAGCCGCGCCCCAGTGGTGTCAAGGGAAGCTCCAAGCTCACCTCGTTGCGCAAACTAATCTGCTCCGAAATCAGGTGACTGCTGATCTACCTGCCTCTAACCCTGCATGTGCTATTTTAGGCTCTAGATTGTACCATGAAACTAATCTCTAGGCAACGTTCACTCTGGTCTCCTCCGTTAAGTGTGTCCTTGATATTCCTAAGCCACAGTGGACATGTGGGAGTTGCTGAGCAATGAATGAAACTCTGCCCAACTAATTTCTAATCAGGTGTGTTAATACTGGACTGTTGTTTTCTGCCCCTAAAATCAAATGCAGATGAAGAAAGGCAATGGAATAATGCCAGAGCAGAGGGTGTTGTAATGTAGTTTCTTCAGTTCTTCCTTTCTTCTAAGAGTAGCAGTCAATTTTTATTGTTACTGTTTAAAAAAAGGGGGAAAGGAAGAAAAAAACAACAAAGATAAAAGAGGAAAAGACAGGAAAAACTGGAGTCTGCATTTCTGCTATTAAGTAAAGCCAAAAAACCTCACATTGCTTCAAAGGCAATTTCTATGAGTGCTGAGTTAAGTTGCAACATTCTCCCATGGTAAAATCCATTTCCAAAATGGGCACTGTCCTGGCTCTTGGGGTCTAGATGTGCTGTTTCCGGGGTGCCTGGGTTCCTTGTGCAAAGAAGAGGTGAGCCCAGACAAGAATTTGTACCCCCTGTAATATATTTGAACATCTCCAGATTGAGGTCATGGTTGTGTCATATGGCAGAACTTGGCCAGACGTTTAGGTTATAGCATTTCCAGGGACATGAGAGCAGCTCAGAGAAATAGTAGGGACTAAGAATTTCAGTCCTGCTTTCATAGGAGAAATGTAACTTCCTGATGAAATCTCCTAGGGTGTTTCTTAAGAGGTAGCTGACACAAAACAGTCAGTGAGAAGACAATGCTGTCAATGGGCAGGGGATAGTAAATCATTATGCAGACTGGGAGAGGGCCAGTTACCTGCTCACAAGTTCCCAGTGAGCTCAGCTGTTCTCATTCAAATGCTTCTACATTTTCACATACCTTGTCAGTGAATTAATTGCAATGTAGAACCTTCTAAAGCACCTGGCTTTTTCACGGTCAGTTTGTGAGGACAGATCAGGGAAAAGAGTTGATTACCACATCAATCAAGCCTGGGGGAAGAGCAGCTGTTAGCAGTCTTGCTTAAGATACAGAGTGAAGGGAGGAAATAAGTATTCATTCTTGGTTGAAGGGAGAAGGACACTTGGCAGGCTTCCAGGGGCTTTTCCTGTGCCTCAGCCCCTGTGCTGGGAATGATCTGCAAGGACCTGTATGGTTGGGGCTCTTGACTGGTCTGTTTGGCTGGTGGGATTTCTGGAAGACTAGAAAGCAGGTATGGGTATTATCTCAAGCCAGGCATAAATAAGTGAGCTCTTGGGGCATTTGACCTCCTTTTAGACTGGCTGAGGTGACTGGGACTAATACCAGTGCCCACAGATTGGCTAGGGAATCAGTACCTGCCAGTGCTCTCTCACCCATTGCATGCTGATCTTACACAGGCTACTGAGTGGAGAGCAATGGTTTCACTGTACTGGGTCACTTTGCTCTGGAGCAGGTGACAAAGGGATATGTAATCTTTCCACCCACTGTGTTGTGGGGGTGTTAACCTCCTACTAAGTGACATTAATATTTTCAGTCACCCCAGAAATTTTCAAACAAAGTTAAGTTTTTCCTCTTTCATTCTTGAACTTAATAATACAATTGCCAACCTTATTTTTTTGTCTCTACTTGTGCTAATCTTTGGGTTTTGTTTTGTCTTATTTTTTTTTTAAATTTTAAGGAGTAACAAAATAATCTCAAATTAAAAAATTGTATTCTGAACCTGTTGGTTGTTCAGCTTTTCACAAACAAGCAGGCAGGAAAAAAATAGGCATCTATTTTTACATTTGCGTGACTTTGAGACAGAAGTTGTTAACTGACAACCCTAAATCTCATTTAAGCTTTGGATAAAAAGCATTTATTAAGAGTTTCAAAGTCTTAAGCCTTAAAAAAAAAAGTCCTTCCCCTCTTGCCTGACAGTTTTACAACTTCCAAGCAAAAATGGGGTCAGCAAGACATATTTCTACTGTAAAACCAAGTTCTTCCCTCCAGTGTGCAAACTGCTGGCTTTTTAGGCCTTTAGCAGATATTAACAAAAACAATACAGTGGGAATATTCTGTAAAGGCTCCTGGGGAGTTTGCGGTTGAAAGCTCTCAGTTACAAATTTTGGTGACACTGCTTTTTGAAACAAAAGGGAAAATGGCTTAGAACAGCAAATTCTTGCCTTTTTGCCAAGCTCCCCTGAAATGCTGAATACAGAATAAACAGCAACATCCTTGGTGCTGCAGTTACAACAGAAGGGTAGCTCTGTCTGTAGGAGAAAGCCAGCAAGTTGAGTCCTGGGCTGTGAAATGGTCAGAGAAACAGTCACCAGACTGCCTGAAAGCACTGGGCTGGATGTTGCCAGACACTCGAGTGCTGGGATGCATGATGGCAGGAAATGTGGGCCTCTCAGCCTTGGCTAGGGGGAAGGTCAGAAAGCATTTGTGTTGTCCAGCTTTTGCTCTAATCTTCCCCTTTCAGGCAGAGAGAGGAGAGGAAGAATTTGCTGAGGTCACTTCTCATGGATCAGGGCATGATGTCCTTCTGCTTCAGTTCTCCATCAGGTTGGCAAGGATGACAGCAGAAGTAGTGCACAGAAACTGTAGCAATGGACTCTGCCCCCAAAATCCTTGTCTGTCCTCCTTTCCCCACCATACTGCATGAGCTGGCTTTTCTTCTAGCAAGGCTTATGACCAAGTTGATGTCTGTCTTTGGCCCTGGCTGGAAGCAGTCAGGGCTATCCAGTGTCAGGACCCCTGCTTCTAAGCAAAATTAATCCCACTGGTGAGAAGATCCCTGCCTTGACAAGGAAGTGAGGAATTAATTTAATGCTGTACCTGGGACTGAGAGCACTAGCTGAGCCCCAGGCACTAGATGGACCTCTGGTTCCTACAGCTGCTCTAGAGTCAATGTTGTCTATTGCTGATTTTGCCTTTGCCTTGGTGTGTCACAATATTCACATGTTGCTTTCTAGGTTCTTTGACCTTCTGAATAGGTAAATGAGAGAGGGAAAGACAATTATTAATATTCACCTAAAACAGCATTCAGTGGTGCCTCATCTCCCAGCTGTCTCATCTCCTGGGTTGATTCTGATCCAATCTAGTTTAGAAATTAGAGTAAGATAATGGCAAAGAATGAACTAGGCGTTTTTGCTGTTTGGGGTTTTTTGTTTGTTTTTGTGGGTTTTTTTTCCCCTTTTAAATGGTTACACTGGAAACATTCACTCATGAGAGATTTTAAGGCAGAATGAACCTTTGTGATCATGGTTTCTGATCAGGCGTAAACTGTTTCTGTTTAAATGAACTTTGTTTTGTGCAAACTCTCTGAAAATGTTGTTTTTTCAGTGAGCATAGCAGTGAAATACAGGGGTTTCTGGGTGGAAGTATCATGGCCCCTTCTCCCCCTCCTGTTCCTTACCAGGTCTGCTTAACTTTTTAATACCTCCTAGTTGTGTCTCTTTTTTGTGGGAGACTTTATCTTCTGATCTGAATACGAAGTCTTAACCTTGCCTTTGGCTGCAATGAATGACCCTCTGAAAGGTAGGAGCTTCTGCAGGTTGCTTGTAAACCAGGAGAGAATTGGAGAGTGTAAGGATCCTACACAACACTGTGAGGAACAGGACTCTGATCTGCAAAATAGTTTAAAGTCCTTTGTCCCATTAATCCTAGCTTTGCAAAGCCTGTCACTAAGGAGCAGTTTGCTGGATTTCTTTAAGCTGGCACAAAGAAGGTAGAACTTGTTTCATGCAGGGGGTAGGAATCTGACTGCAGGCTCAGAGAGAGATCTGGTTCCCCAGTGGTTTGTGTGCTCTTTGCAGAGCCCTTTGGTGTTGTGACATTCCTGC